CATATTGATCCTTAAAGAGTCCGATTCCTCTGGACAGAGCTCGATCAATATCTCTAAGCCATCAAATATCCAGTTGCTAATCCTTCCAGTTTAGAGGTCAAAAAGTTGACTTCGTCTCCAAAGGTTTTAGTTACTGAGGGACATTCATTTAGATGGAATCAGCTGTCGGAGCTCATGTGACGTCATTGATCCGACGGTGGGTGTTCTGGTTCTGTTCCGGTGTTACAGAACTCACCTCTCTCCTCTGTTGGTCTTTAGAAGTTGCATGATTGTGGGCAAGATGTAGGGAGGCGTTATCGTGGCTGCGTGTCTAAGAGCTACGACGAGTCAGGGGATAATGAGCACCCTATGGGGGGGGGGGGGGGGGGGGGGGGGGGGGTGGGGGAAGGGGGAGAGGGGGGGGGGGGTTAGGTGAAGGTAGGTGGCAGTAATGAAGGTCAGGTCTTCGCCTGCAGCTCGATACATGAAGATACAATCCACCTCCGTCACCTCCTGAGAACAGTTTTCTTCCTTTTAACCGATCCGAGATGCATGTCGCCCGCCATGACGCCTGAGGTTTAAACTAAAACCATCTTCTGTTGAATTTTTTTTCCATTTGATCAATATTTTGTACGATATTACAAGAAGTCACCCTCTGAGTATGTGTTGTGGAAGACTCTCAGCTACTACTACACCAAGTTTATGTAAAACGTACCCAGTTGTAGCCATCAATGCTATACCTTACCACACTGGTGCCAAGATGTAGCACCAAGGCTGCCGCAACCTTACCAGAGGCTGTGGCAGCCATCTTTAATTGAATTTACTCCAATAGAGAATCAGTTGTAGATGTATATTCCAAATATTGAAAGTTTAATTAAAATCCATCCATGATGTATTTCGCTAACAGGGCTGACTCTAAATAGTTATTGGCAAGATCTTGTGCAACCTCTCAGTATGTGTTGAGTATCAGTCTCAGCTACGACCACGCCAAACTTTAGCTCAATATCTGTAAAGTTGACAAAGTTAAGGCCGTTTTGCGGTTTTTTTTTTTTTACTTCAGCTAGATGTGGCAGCCATCTTGAATCGAGTTAACACCAAAAGTTGACCAGTTGGAGCCGTGTGTCCAGTGACGACTTCCTGAGAATTTCAGTAAATTCTGTCAGGTGCTTCATCAGATATTTTGGTAACAGACACACAAAACTAACCAATCCTATACTTGGCCCTCGCTGCTTTCCGTAGCACATAACACAGTCGTCTCTGATGTTCTACATTTCGTGAGTTTCCCCATTTCAACAGGCTCCTCAGAATAAAGTCATGATTTGTCTAATTAAACGCCGTCTCACCTCATCACCGCCGGTCCTGACAGACTTCTTCCACACTGTGCAGCTTGATTTCATTAACTCGGTACGCGACAATCCTGCAAAAACAGCACTGCAACGCATGTGAGCAGGTTCTCCAGTCTGTGAGCAGAGCTGAAAACTTGACGGCTTCTTGATGCTTGAACGTTACTAAACAGTATATGTATACGTACGGCTGCAGCTGTCTGGGTGTCACTTATGCACAAAAATAAAGCCGGTGATATGACTTGTAGATGGAGACCTGACATTACAGAGCGGGATCCTTGTGGTTTTATGGACCGCTGCACCCGTTAGCCTTTCTGCCCGTATAAATTGAACAGTCAATTCCTTTGTGTCCACTCATGCTAAACACAGAAATGCAACAAAATCCTCACTCGGCCCGACTTGCAGCCAATGAGGAGTCCATTTATACTTGCAAAAGGTAAATTATTCCTTACATACGAGCATTTGCATACCTATGTGGACTTTATTTCATGCTTGGCCACCGTGTCACCACAGATGCCAGACGAAATGAAAGAATACCGTCCACTTGTTTTTGTCTCTTTGGAAAGTTTGACGCGTCTCCGTTACAGCTGAATGCAAACAGCATTTTCTTAGTTTTCATACTTTTTTGTTGTAACCTGTGCAGAAATCTAGGGTTTGTGTATATCCATCCATCCATCCATTATCTTTACCAGTTTCTTCCTTTTCAGGTCATAGGAGCCACTGGTGCCCATGTCCAGCCATAACTGTGCAAAAGGTGGGATACACCCTGGACCAGTCGCAAGTCCATCACAGGGCGTTTGTGTATATCAAATGGCTAAATACTGGAATGACAAAAGTAGTAATTATTACCAGTCAGCACTGTTCAAGATCAGGTTTTCTACCAGAGGCCTGGCAGTTGTAGGTTCTGTTCAGTAGGTTCCTAGGACTTTGCTCTTCTGGACAAGAGATCGTTGAGATTATTCCTGGGATCTGTTGGAGCCGCTCTTCCAGTATGGGGGTCACAGCACCAAGAGCCCCGATGACCACTGGGACTACTGACGCTTTGACTCTCCACAACTTTTGTATTTCCTCTTTCTGCCCTTGGCTAGAGGGAGCTGGACTGAAGGACAGCACAGAGGCACTAATCTTAGCAGCGCAAGAGTAGTAGAGGCCAGTGTCTACCATATCAGACAAGACCTAAGATGCAGGTTGTGCAAAGATGCTCCTGAGACAGTCCAACACATAACGGGATGTAAGATCCAGACAGGCAAAGAATACAAGGAGCGCTATAATCTACTGGCTGGAATAATATACAGGAACATCTGTGCTGAGTATGAACTGGAGGTGCCACTGAGGGTGGTGGAGAATGGAAGAGCCAAGATATTGTGGGACTTCAGAACCAGACTGATAAACAGTTGATGGCTGACCAACCATCGTGGTGGTTGACAAGCAGAGGAAGGCAGTGGTGATGGATGTAGCAATTCCAAGTGGCTGTAACATCAGGAGAAACACCACTGGTAGGATTTGTTGATAGCCATTTTCTCAATCCGCTGGTGGTACATGGTCCATGATGGCTCCCCTTGTTCTGCTTTTCCACATTAGTTTCTGCTGCTACCATGAAACATTCACTCATCAGTTCATCATCGGGGGCTTTCCTCCTTATATACTCTAGGATCCTGTATAGTGGCTTGGACGCTCACTAGTCCTCTGCCTCCCTCCTTTCTCTTAATGTAGAGTCTCAGAGTGCTGGACTTGGGGAGAAACCCTTCATGCATCATGAGAAGTTTTCGAGTTTTGATGCAAGTGGCTTCTATTGTCTCCTTTGGACAGGCCATTATACCAGCTGGATATATAAAAGTTGGCGCTGCATACATATCGATTAGACTGTTCTTTCTTCGTCTTCCTTACGGCCTCATCCTGGTTTCCATATGCCTGTGGGTATCCAAAGTACTTGAGCTGTCCTGAATATCCACTACACATTGTGCAAAGATGTGACAGAATGTTTTCAATGGAGTTGACTCCAAAGGTCAACTTGAAAAAAATAAACTTTCACAATAAATCAGACTCTGCTGCTCCCATCGTGGATTTAAAGCACCTTTACACCCAATGGAAATCTAGTAAAAGCAGCACAGCCATGCTATTCCAGCACTGACAGCGTTTCTGTCGTGTTCTGCACAAAATATCAGCGTACACGCTGTGTGTTTTGGAAGAGGTCCAAAGGTCATTGCAGTGTGTGTTTTCTGATGCACAGCTGGTGGAAGAGCTTGGAAGGAAATTAATTCCCACACACTTTCAGCAGCATATTTAACGAGAATGAAACGGTTTTGGTTCTTGACCTTTATAAACTCAATTATTATGGGTTTTAAGGCAGTGGTTTTAGATTACCATCGTTATCCAGCACTGCCTGGTTGGTTTACACTGAAAGGACCATTTCAGGACTTTAATTAAAAGATGTATTACAGACACATTTATATTACGTTTATGGTAGCAAGTGATAAAACACACACTGAATGCAATTACAGGAGAGTTGTTTGTTTTTTTCAGTTTATTTTGCAAATATCAGCAAAATTTAATTTAACCGTTTTTAATCTCAGTTCATCTTTTAGGACAAGTTCATGTTGAGATTTAATCTGCAGAAAGACGCCAACAGTCCTGTGGTGCCTGAAGGGTTCAAATCTTCTCCTAAATCAGCGATTGTTTATCTGAAGAAAATTATACAAAAAATAGTAATCCTAATCTCAAACTAGAGAAATTAAATTTCCTGCGAAAATGTGGTGTGAATGTTGAGCGTTGAATTACGGCTGAAAGCTGCTGAAGCTGAAACTGAGTTGTTAATGCAAGCTAAAAGCGACATAAGGCTAGCTAAATGCTAATTTACTAAGCATTTAGCTAGCTAAATGCTAATTTACTATGAATTTAGCTAGCTAAATGCTAATTTACTAAAAATTTAGCTAGCTAAATGCTAATTTACTAAGAATTTAGCTAGCTAAATGCAAGCTAAAAGCAACATAAGGCTAGCTA